TGGTGGCATGTGCCTGTAGTTCCAGCTATTTGGGAGGCTGAGGTAGGAGAATCACTTGAGCCCAAGAGCTTGAGGTTGCTGTGAGCTATGACACCACTGCACCCTACCTGGCCTGACAGAGTGAGACTGTCTCAAAAATAAATAAATAAATAAATAAGTAAATATTCCCCCTGTGTGTCTTATGCATTCCCACCACCAGGCCTCTGCACATGTCCTTCCTTTTGTCTGGACTGCCCTTGTCCACTCTGTCCCCACCGGTCCACCCTGCCTCCCTACATCAGCACTGCCCACCCCCAGCAAGATTGCACACAGTATTTCTCCATGTCTAAATCTGACCTATTCTTCAAAGTTCGGTTCAAATATTGCTTCGTCCGTGAGCCTTTTCTTGAATCCCCCTTGTCATGAACCATTCTTTCTTCCCTGGGTTTCTATGTCTAATACCGGCTACTGTGGAGAGAAAGGCTTTGACTGAAGCATTTGGAGAGGAATGGGGGTAGATACTGTTGGGACAGGAAGACAGGCATCAGCAGGGAACCCAATGGCCAAAGGGCAGCAAGTAGGAAGGCATGGGGCTAATATGTGCAGCAGGAGGTAACACAATGCAGGAGGAGCTGGAAGAGAGAGTAATGGAAAAACGCCAGAAACATAGCTGTATTATTTTGTGCAATTTTTTTTAGGGCTCAGGTACAAAGTTCCACTGAAAATCATTTACCTTGTAGCCCCTGGCATCTATAGAATAGATTTTCTGATGCTAGATTGTTTTTTAAGGCAATAAACTAATATCATCTATATGTTTATCTGACAAGTATGATGTACGTGGCACAAGTGTGAGGTTGCTCAAATACATTTTATAATGGATTAACAAATAACACTAATTATCCAACTCAAGGGAATTACATTAATATAATAAAGCCATTTGTTTTAACTGGATGATTCTGTTAAAGTAGTCAAGAGGATCATATCTAATTAGGACAATGTCTCAATCTTGATTGCTAACATAAATAAGAGCACGCTTAAGCTTTGACATACTTCTTCAGGAATAGGATAGCTACAGATGTACGGCACTTGATTACAGAAGCCATATATTTTGTTACTTTGAAAGTCCAAGACGGCAGAGGACAGAGCGTGGTCCACCTCATACAGGTACTTATGAATGAATTCATCTCTCAGCCTCCCTCTTTCATCAGAGAAGGTTGCAGAAACTATCAGATCTGAAAAAGAAGAGAGATCACTTGCACAGTATATTGATTTTATTTTTTAAAATCATTATGAACAGTTATGAAAGGCAAAATAAAAATTTTAAATGCTCAATTAATATTGCAGAGGGTATTAGGTGATAAAAATGATTTAAAAACAACTTGTCTCCACTGCAAATCCTGGTATTAAATGACTGATAGTGAGTAAAATATCTTTTGTAAGGCCTTGGTTAATTTTGTCAATTAACTTAGAGACATATCATTAAAGGAAACTCATGATGGTATAGAGATTCTTAATTAAAATATAAAAGTACTTTGAGGTTTTCAGCTTTTTCTACTCTATAATGATATATTTGCAAAATTGTTACCCAGACATATTTTGTCATTAAAACAAAGATGGTCTATTTTCTCATACCTTTTTATCCAGGAAGCTTTCTTTGTAATTTTATCAGTGGAGGTAAATACACCGTAGTCTACCTGAATTTGACTATGTATATTTAAAGCTATAAACAAGAGACATCACAAAATGACAAATCAACATGACGTAAGTGTCAGTTGATCCTGTCTCTTTTCTCTGGTAATGAAGCAGATTCATGTAAGTCACATTATAAATTGTTTAGCAGCCACATCAGTTTTACTTTGTAAAGATGGACAAAAGGCAGCCATTTTACCTCTTCTACGATTAAAAACGAAAAACAAAAGCCATAGCAATGACTTATCTGGGCCTAGGACAGAATTGGTTCCTCAGTTTTCCATTACCTTGTGGTAGTAGCATAGGCAGAGTGAACATTTCCAGCCTGCTTCTTCCTGTTTCTGGAAGTGGGGAAAGCACCAGCACTTCCACAATATCTGTTTCCAGAAGGGACACTGTGGATATTTGCAAAATGTCTTTGCCCACCTCTGCGAGCAAACAGAAATCAGCACCACAGTGGTCATTGGTTAGTTTAAAGAATCTTTTACCTTCCCAGTTAAGATGTCACATATAGACTTGCCTTTACTAAATCTTTAGATCTAAATTTATTTATCAGACATTTAAAATGACCTTTAAATGTAAGTGACAGGGACATTTTTGATGACAGATGAAGGATGCTCCTGGCAGATTCAAACCAGCCCAGTTTGGCTCAGGCTTCTTTCCTAATAGCTGGGGTGGCCCCCAGAGAGTGCCATCTGTACCCCCTAGTCACCATCTGTATGCTCTGACCCCTCACACGTCCACTCCAGCCAGGTTACCCACTCCTAATGTTGGTAAACTCAGGCCTCAGTGTTCTCTGCATCTGTGGTCAAGGGATTGCCAGCGTCCGCCCTTGCAAGGTGTGCCACGGCTGCGGCCCACCTAGGATTCATTCCAGAGTCACTCTTCCACTGTTCACGGGACCGTGCCTCAGGTGGCTAGTTTCTCAGGCCCCCATATCAGCCCTTCCCCTAGGTGTTCAGTGCAAGACCTTTCCTCTTACTTAGGAAGACCGAGGACATCTGACACAAGCTCAACCTCAGCATTCTTATCCTGATCACATTTTCTCGCAGATTCCATCCTGCCCCTTCCTTTCCTCTCAGTGATGTAGGAACAAAATGTACCCCCTTCCTGTCTGTGATTTTGGGACCATTCCTCCAATCTCCTATTAGACCATCCACTATCAATTACCTCTTTTTTATCTTGTTGTGTCCCTTATGGTTCCTTTTCTTCAGCCCTCAAGACTCCACTGTCTTCAAATAAAACCTTCCTTCAACTCACAACAGTTACCATCTGACTCTCTTTTCTCCACTGCAAACTTCCTAAAATATGTCACCACTTACTGACTTCATTTTCTTACCTCTGTTTCCTCCCTAACCTCTTTGTCTCTCCATTCCGAAGAAGCGGCTCTCTCAGGGATCACCCGCTGACTGGCGAACACGTGAGGGCCTCGCCCCAGTCCTCACCCCACTCACACTTGTCACAGGCGGCACCTCAGCCAGCCTTCCTTCCTCAAGCGCTTTCTGGAGAAGGTGACTCCAGCTCTCTTATTACTCTGGCCCATCCTCAGTTTTCTTCACTGCCTCATCTTCCTCAGGCCACAGCTTCAGTGCAAAATGAAGACCGGGGTTCTATTCACAGCTTCTTCCATCCCACCCCCTGGCCAGACAGATATGTTAAAAAACGGGATATTTAGGCAGGATATGCATCCACTCTGAGGTCAGCCACAGGCTCTACCACTCTCAGTGCCATCTAATTTACATATCGAGGTCACCTATTTGGCCCCGTTGAGCATGTAGGTTTGCTTCTACTCTGGTTTCTTGAGCCATCTCATTAGCTTCCATGATTTCAAGATCAGAATTCTGTCATTAGGCCTTGTACTGCATATCTCTATTTCCAAACTTATGCCAAATATCCCCAAATGAAGAACTTACTGGCTTTAAACCTGAAGAGCTGGTCAGCTCACCCTATCCTTCAACCTCGAAAACTTTCTTCTTCAATTAATGACGTAAACTTCCACTATCCATGCTAGAAATTTTGGAGTGGTTGTTGACCCCTCCCTCTCACATATAATCAAATACTGAGTCCTACCGATTCCAACATTCATAGCTATTCCCTTTTCTCTTTCCATGACTACTACATGGGTTTGTGCATCATCAATGAGAGCACACACTCTGAAGTTGGACTTGCTAAGTCTGAGTCATGGCTTTGTCGCTAACTAGCTGCATGACCTTGAATAGGTACTTAACCTCACTGTGCTTCAATCACCTCATCTGTAAAATGGGAATAATAGTAGTATCTACCTCATGAAAGTTGTCTAAGAGTTAAATGAGTAGACACATGCCAAGGGCTTAGAACACTGGCTGTTACGTAGTAAGGCATTCCTCAATAACTGTTGGCTATTGTTATGATTATGACTATTATCATCTCTTGTCTTGGCCAGTATTACCGCTTCCTAACTCATCTTTTTTATTTCATTGTCTTCCCTTTCTACTCCATCCTTCACACTGTTGCCCTCTAAAAACCAAGTCAAATCATGCCAGTTCCGTCTTGGAAGCCCTGATGACGTCTCATTAACCACAGAACAAATTCCAGACTCGTTGGAATGATATTCAAGGCCCTTCATCATCTTTCAGACATCATTGCCATGGTAACCTTCTAGTAAACTCTTCCATTTACCTGTTACACCAGACTTTTACCATTCCAAGTACCTTTGTTCCTATTATTGTTTTGAGCAGGATACTAATATGCACCATCCTGCACTTTTAAAAATCCTTCAATCCCACTACTTTAAACCCTTGGAAAACTCTCCCCAGTCCTCTGTGCCCCTTACTTGTGCCCACCTTCCCCTCCACTCTTTTCTGTACACCTGGCAGGATTAATTGCTCCTGTTTCTGAGCCTACACAGCACTTTGCTTTTTCCTCCTCTACCAAACTGTCTCCCTAATGCTTTCGTCCCTCATGAGGCCTGGGTTCAGCATTTTGCACCTAGTAGGCACTTGATAAATTTTATAAATAAATGGATGGATTTTAAAATTGGGGTTGGAGGAATATACATACATATCTGGTACTTAAAGCCCAAGAGAAAAGAATTAGTTCTTTATTAAATAGAGATCAAATATTACTTTAAAAATATTTCAGAGAGAAATCAACCCAACTTCTTTTTGTAACAACATTAGAAATGTTTAATCATTTCATTAATTCAATAATTGATTCAAAAGAATTTATTTAGCATCAACTATGTACCAAGCAGATAACTCTAATATTCCAAATACATCTAAATATAACATGAGAATTCTCCTAAATAACTTTAACAGTTATTTAAGTGTTTCTCTTTTAGAAAATCTACCATAAATAACTATTTAGAGTTCCATTTTCACAACCTTAAATTCTTTGGAATAAAGTAATCAATATTTTAAATTAATACACATTCTATGTTGTACCTGTGAATCCAATAATCTGAAATGAGCTTGAGGGCTTGGCATTGATTACAAAGACCTTTCCTTCTGATGTTCCAACCAACAGAAATATTCCTCTCTGGTCATAACTAGAGAAGAAAAAATCTGATTATCAGATTATACTTGTCTCACCAACGAGATAGTTAACAAGTTTATTGAATGACCATGGAGATATGTTTGAAATCAGTCATTCTTATGGTTTGTGATTTTTAATATTCTCTGACCTCATAAAAGCTGGGTGACTACCTAGAGGTATAATCATTATACTCTAGGCTGATGCTATTTCCAGGTTACAACTTATAAGTACACTCTAGAAGATTCAGTAAAGATGGGCAACTGTTTCATCACAAGTGCATGAAATACGTCAGTAGAGCTTTCTTGATGTTTCAAGTGGAAATAAGCAATTCTCACATTAGCAATGGACTTGACATTTCATTACCCTGTGTCTGGTACCTGGCAGGAGGAGGAAAAATGTAGCGAAACATTTCTACAACTTCATCAAATTAGGAAAAAGTGGGAAAATGCAAATTAAAATAAGAGGAAAGGATCTGAGAAAGAGGAAGCACAAAAAACTACGGCACAGAGAGCAGGGGGTAAGTGCTTGACGATTATTCATATAAATAAAAGGAAATACTTATTTTTTTCCTTGTTTATGGATAAAATATCTCTGGAAAGAGACAAAAGAAATTGATACCAGGCCTCCAGGGAGAGAACTGGGTGTGTGGGGACAAGGGTGGGGGGCTCCTCTATACACCCCTCTCTACTTTTTGAATGTTGAACTGAGTGAAAGTATTAATAGTGAAATAAATGAAATATGTAAAACTTAATAGAAATGATGGCTTCACGGGAATTCTTGACAGACAGATCTGACACGGAGCTGCTGCCAGAGCAGGAGCTACTTACACGAGGTGCTGCACGGATGATTCGGAGAGAAAGGCCTTGCCAAGTACCTGGGGGGATTCCAGATCCTGGATGTTGATGAAGTGGACAGAGCCTCCCACGGTGCCCACGGCAGCGCAGAAGGAAGAGGGAGAGCAAGCGAGAACCGTGGCCTGTTTAAAATAAACCCAGAGGTTTGTCTTCACTGAGCGGGAGCACGAAGCCTGTTCTCCTACATGTCAGAATTCTACCATTTATTTGAAAAGCCTGCTGAATGAGAAGAATGGCAGGTTGATGTGAGGGGCATTATTCCAAGTTAGAGACTCAACATTCCTGAGCTAATCAATTGCATAAGAAGTCACAGGAATCTTTTAGCCTAAATTAAAATGACAAAAATATAGATGGATTTCTTGAACTTTAAATCACAGCTTCATTTTTATCCCTAAATGATGATGAAATGATGATATCAATATCTATGTAAATGATTGCAAAACAATTAGACCAAAAATAATGCAAAATAAAGTAAGAAATTTAAAATAAATTTCTAGCATCTTTTGTACGTTTTTGTAGAATGTTAGTGATTTTTAAAATCAGCATTCATCTACTGAGATGCTGGTATGACTGAGGAAGACTTAAGAAAATAACTGTATCACTGGATCATGTATTCAGTCACCAAAACCGCATAACAGATTCCTGTTTATTGCATGATTATTTATATACAATATAATGTCTAAGAGAATAAGTTTATTTTCACAATACTTAAGGAATCAGAATTATTCTTCTATAATTACACTTTGTACATTATTTCGAATAGACTTATGGAAAGTTAGAGCTGAGAAAGAACTTACGAGGTCATCATTTTGCGAAATAGCAAATGGAGGCCCAGGGAGTGCAGCAATCTGCCCCCAGCTGGTGACAAAGTTCAGAGAAGCACTCAGATGTCCTGCCTCATGAGAACACACACAGTCTCACAACTGAGTGGGCTTGTATTATTTTTAACTGAAAGCCTTTTCTCAGTGTGTGTATGTGGTGTGTGTTCCCAAAATAATCAGTTGACAATCTCCTCCTTTCCAGGACAATAGTGGCTTAGTCTGAAAATGTACAGCAATAGCCAGAGGGGTCTTACGTACCCTCGAAGGTGCCATCAAGGGAAACCGCTAGTGTCCAGTGTCTTGCCATTGTGGTGCTGGGCTGGGTTCCCCAAGGACCACTGCCTAAAGAGTCCACAGGCAACACAGTTCCAGGCACAGGCAGGGAGATCTGGCCTCAGCATCAATGGGTCTATTCCCTGATCAATTCTCCATAGGGCAGCCATATCCTCTAGTAAACAAGACCACTGCATCTCCCCAGTGCAGGCTGAACCACGTGAGTGTACCCTGCCTGGTCTGGAGCTCAATGAAGGTTCACCGAGGCCTTCTGATGGTGCCTATTACCCCTCCTTGGACAAGAGGAACCAGGTAAGTCCTGATTACATAGGCCTCTGGATAGGTTGTTACACATTTGTATGTCTCTCATCTGTAAAAGGAGTTGTGATCACATGAACTTGTAAGACCTCTTCTAGTTGTAGTAATTCTAATAGAAGTGAATACATATACGTGTTTGTCATATAGATTATGGTTTTTTTCATATTTCATGGTATTTTAGGTAAGAACTTACATCTTTACTTTTGAGAGAGAGTTTTATTTATCCCATTGAATTATGTACCTTTGGCATCTTGTAATCCTCTTATGTAAGGTATGATGCTTAGTCTTTTATTATTGAGATTTTAACTTTATAAAGGGGAAGGATTGACACTTCCCTGCCTATTATTAATACCAAGATCTATATATCATCTTGAACTGTGTAATGCAACAAATGATGATAACTTTTAAAAAAACAGCATTACCATTGCTTTGTGGCCCTTTTATGTTTTGTAATATTTTTGTTTCTTTGTTTTGTTTTTTTTTTTTTTTGAGACAGAGTCTCACTCTGTTGCCCTGGCTAGAGTGAGTGCCGTGGCGTCAGCCTAGCTCACAGCAACCTCAGACTCCTGGGCTCAAGCAATCCTCCTGCCTCAGCCTCCCAAGTAGCTGGGACTACAGGCATGCTCCACCATGCCCGGCTAATTTTTTCTATATATTTTTAGCTGTCCAATTAATTTCTTTCTATTTTTGGTAGAGACGGGGTCTCGCTCTTGCTCAGGCTGGTCTTGAACTCCTGAGCTCAAACAATCCGCCCGCCTCGGCCTCCCAGAGTGCTAGGATTACAGGTGTGAGCCACCGCGCCCGGCCTGTTTCTTTGTTTTTGAAACAGGCTCTCACTCTGTTGTCCAGGCTAGAGTGCAGTGGTGCAATCACAGCTCACTACAACCTCGAACTCCTGGGCTCAAGTGATTCTCCTGCCCCGGCCTCCCGAGTAGCTGAGACTACAGGAGTGCACCACCATGTCTGGCTAATTTTTCTTATATTTTTGTAGAGACAGTGTCTCACTATGTTGCCCTGGCTGGTCTTGAACTCCTAGCCTCAAGTGATCCTCCCACCTTGGCCTCCTAAAAAGTGCTAGGATTACAGGCATGAGCTACTGCGCCAGGCCCTATAATATTATTTTATGTAAAATACACTATGAATAATGGTATCACATTGTGCCAGGTGTTGTGAGCAGTTGTGGTTTGCACCCAGCATCCATATGCCCTCTTGGAAATTTTCTTGAATATCCACTGAGAAACCATCTGTCGCCTATTTTCAGGATTGAGTGGAATGGCTCTGACTCCATTTCCAGGGCTCAGCTAATGCCAGTTGGGATTTCTTGTCTCCCTGTCCATAGTGATTAGTTCAGGGACATTATTGAGACATTAGAATATATTTACCAAACCTTCTGGAAAGGAGAAACTTCTTTGTTCTTCCTTCCCCTACGGTAGGAGTTTCTCTCCCCTGATAGTGTGATGCGAGGTTGGAACCTGTGGCATCTGGGTGCCACTAAATGAGGCCTAGGATGAAACTAAAGGCAAGATAGATAGAAAGACAAGGTCCTTGGTATGTCATCTGAGCTGCTGGACTGGGGCACACATGAGACCAGATAAGTTCTGTACTTTATAGATGATTGAGCCAATAACCCCTACTTTTTAAATTTTGGCTTAAGCAGGTTAGAGTGGCAATTTTCTTTCATCTCTAACTGATCCCCTTGCAATTAGATGGGGCCATTTAACCGATCATGGCCAAAAGGATATTTCATTTCTGAGCAAAAGCACTTAATTGTTGATTCAAGAGCTCCCCCCTCCCCCCACAAAGACCCTCCAGCACTCTCTTGCCCTGGCACTGAGGAGCTATTGGTTGGTGGAACCTCCATCAGCCTAGCTCCATGAGGAACTGTGTAAGAGAGACCCCCATCAGTCCACAATGAATTACAACATGAGTAAGAGATAAACCACTAGGGTTTCAAAAATAACTGCCACCACAGAAAAACTTGTCCTTTCCCATAACCAATAGAGTATGTTGTGTTCCACTCTCTGGGCTGTGGCATGCACTTTGCACACAGGAATTACCCCCAATCTATAAAGTAAAAATGCAATAAGGCCTCCGTAGCCAGTATTTGCACAGATTATTGACATATGAATATAAAAGGTAGATTGGATTAGAATTCAACATTTAAAAAAATCCATTTGTCGAGTACACTTACTGGGGTATTCAGATAAATCTTGCTTACACAAGCGCAATCTTCCATCCACCAAACACAAACTTCCCCTGAATGTGTGAGTGTCTGTGAAAGAAAGAAAAGCAAAACTCTAAATGGAAAATAAGACTCTTCTGTGGAAGCATGTTTTATCTTCCTTTCTAGTATCTTCAATCTGATGATTTAGTATAAAATTTCATTTTACTTATGTGGGTCACAAATAATTATTTTACAATTTCAACATCAATAGTTCTTTTCTGAACAAATATTAACTATTACCTTTAATGCAACTTAAGTAACACATAATAACTAATTAGGATTAGAAAAATGATTTAGTATAAAATTTCATGTAACATATTTAAGACAAAAGTTATTTGGAAATTCAATGGGATTATTGTTGTTCTTTTTAAAATTACTAGACTTTATTTTTTTAAGAGCAGTTTTAAGATGACAGAAAAATTGAGCAGGAAGTACATGGAGTTCCTCTTCCTCTTCCCCTTCCTTTCCACATATACAACCACTCTATTATCAACACCTTGCTTAAGTGTGGTATATTTGTTACAATTGATGAGACACTATTGATATACTATTATTGACTTCTTAGACCGAATTCAAATATTGTGCATGGCAACGATTCCATCTTCACCCTCAGGTGCTGCTGCATCACTCTGAAAGGAGGTAAATGCTACTAGTTTACTGGGATTGACAACTCATTAGCAATGAACTTGTTTAATGGCCTGGCTTGCAGAGCTTGGGTGCTGAATACAAAAAGGATGGCTCCTAAGATCTCAATTGGTTGGCTGTTTTCAGAGGACAATGTTATGAAGTCACAATATCATGGTGTCATTCTCACGGGGGGAGTAGATTTGATGATGGAAGTGGCTAGTATCTCTACCACAGTCTGCAAGGAGAGACGCTGCCTCTTGTTTGCATTGCTTTGCACGTGAACTCCCAAAGTTACCCAGTTGCATATGGATAGAGATTTAAATTTTGAAACAGCATATCTTTAAATCCTACCGTGACACCATAGAATATTCCTTACCATGAAGTGTTTGGTTCCAGGAGTGACAAAGTCAATTGCCAGGAATTTCCCATCACAAGCATCTAGGACTTTATCTAATGTTGGCTCCTCACCAAAAGTGTAGATATAAACAGATCCCTGGTAAACATACAAAAGAAAAGAAACATATGGTTAATTGCTGTGTACACAGTACAACAAATATTTATTTAATGCCTAGGTAAGCAAGGCACCACGTGGGAGAAGGTGATGGGAAATCATAGATCAGCTCAACAAGGACCTGGCCTTGAGGAGCTTAAAATCTAGATGCTTGATTTGTTTGTTTATTGATTGATTGATTCATTCATTTATTTATTCATCATTTAAAATAATCATAAATAGGACTTTCTTCTTCAATTCCAGGCATTTGTTTTTTAAATTACAAAACATGACAAAAACATTTCTTCCTGATTTTGAGAATGATGTCTATTTATGTAGAAAATTTGGAAAATGTGGAAAACCAGAAAAGTTGTTAAGATGCACTAAGATATTTTAAGATTGTCATTTATTTATTAAAACATAGCATAATGTTTTTAAAGTTCTGGTAATTATCAGAAACTGAAATCTTTTTGTATTCAAATTTAAGTGATCTTTTAGGCAGAAATATCATTGAACTTTGCCTGTAATTCATCTAAAATTGTTGCCTAATGATATAAATGTCTGATAATCCTGACCTTTGAGGGGCATTCCATTAATTAGGAGTCTTCCTAACAGTATAATTGAACATTTGTTTTCACCCTGCTTCCCCTCTCTTCTTCTCTTACAGAACCAATATTTTCTTTAGTGAACCACCTATGTCCCTAGTCTTCATGTTTGAGTAGGTTGACTCTACCCAGCAACGTAAACAGGTGACTTAGGCTTGGCCAATCAGAGCTTAGAATTCCCCTGGCCACAGTGATTGATTCAGGGATAGACAGGTGATCCAAGTTAGTGCAATGAGTCTAGATTCCAGGACATTTTTTCCAGCTGGTATCTTTCCACCAGGGTCACCACGAGGATAGAAATATAAGCTGGAGCTACTGGAGGCTCTCTTAACACCACAAAGTATAAAATCTGCATGGAAATGGAGACAGCAGAGAGGAAATAGAGCCAAGAGATGTAGGAAAACAAAGCCCAGAGGCATCATGGGAGCTCCTGGATCTAGATCATCTCCTTCCCCTTTCACTTATATGCATAATAACAAACAACTCTTTGGTATTTCAGCCTTTTAAATTGGGTATTTTTTATTTGTAACCTAAAGAGTCTTGACTGGTAGAGTATCATGCAGTGCACACTGCTTTTCATTCCTGGTATGGAATGATGACAATAACATAATCTGAAAATTCCATATCAAGAAATTTCCATCAAGCATACCTTGTCTGTTTGAATCAGCAACATTCTGTAATTGGGAGAAAACATCAAATGTTCAACAGGCCTTTCAATCTCAAGAAAATCCTCTACTTTGTAACTTGAATCTTTAATAATAAAAGAATACACAAAGCCATCCTAGAGACCAAAAACAAAGAGATAAGTGCAGAAAATCAGTCTCAGTCAATGTGTAGTATACTTTCCTCATCAAATAAGCTAAGACTTACCAACTATGACCTACTGTTTATTTGGAATCATCGTCTAAATGTAAACACCCTGCGTTTACATTATCTGGAATGCACTGTCCTCTCATCCTTGTTTAGGTAACTTTTCAACATGCTCCCTGGTCAAGCTTTAATTTTATCTCTTTGCTGACACATTTTTTCAATTACCTAAAATTTCACTGATCTCTCCTTTCTTTGAGCTTCTCTAGCAGCTCTCCTCTTACCTCATTCTTTACTTTACAAGAGGGGGGCAAATGAGGAGCAGTTGTGTGGCTTATGCATAGCAGCCTCCTTCCTTCCTAATGCATGTTCTTTAATCATTGTTTTATATGCATTTCTTATCTCCCTAAATGACCCAGGGGTGGGGAGTGTGTCTTTTATTCCCTTTGCATCCTCTTTCCCAGTTCCTCATATCATGCTAGAACATGGCAGGTGTCCAATAAAAATGGGCTGGTTGATTGGTTGATGGTAAACAGGTTTAGGTTAATTTAACTACTCTCAAGAAGAATCTGAGTTATTTTTACAACAGTGAGTTTGGGGCAAATCTATCCATCACTTTCTAGTTTAAACCCCATCATGACTAAGAACAGGCATTTGTGAGATGGCTGGGTTAAGATGCTTGGGGCCAGGAGGGGAAACATGCAAGGTGCTTTCTCCAAGCTCATCATAATTCTCCACTCCTCACCAGAGCAAATGCTACAATCATTTCTTTAAAGTAGGTTAAAACAAACATCAAGGGTGGTCTTTAAAAAACAAGAGTCATAAAAGGCCACAAATGCAGATGAAGTGTAGGAGGGAGGAGGGGGTTGTCCGCTGCAGGGATGGGGGAAGGAATTCCAAGCTGAGTGTAGGTGTCTGAGCTCCAGATGGCTTCTCATGGGTGCAACTACATCTCTTACTCTGACGTCATTATCTAGCTGCCCTCAGGGTGCTGGAGGTGTGATCTGTGGCAATGGAGCAGACGAAGCTAACAGTGGGCTCGGGACAGCTATGATTAGAACTAAAATTTTGGTATAGGTCAGTTCCAAACTTTATCATTGGTGACATTGATTACAATGGCATGGAAAAACATGGGCTGACCCCTTTTCATATGTACAGAGGGCGTGTATTCTAACAAATGAGAGCAAAGACTTTGGAATTTGACGCTCTTGGGTTCCAGCTCTAGCTTCTCCATACACTTGCTGGTGAACTCGCTAAGACCTGGTTCCTTGTCTATATAAGGAGGGTGTAGATAGTTCGTGTCTGATAAGGTTGTTGTGAGGACTGATAAGATAATACAAGTAAAGCACTTAGCTTGGTGCCTGGCACAAAGTAAGCACCAAGTAAACGGAGGCTATTAATACAAAGTCTAATATCAACAATAACACTATAATACATGCAAGCTAAATGAGCATGCACAAGAGTCTAAGTTATAGCTTAGACACAGGTTTCTAAATTTATGTCTGACAACCTAATACATTAAGTGCATAAATGGGCATGGAATGGGGTTACAGATATTAGGTGTTTTTTTCACTGGGGGAGGGCAATGGATTTTTAAATTCTATTTTTGTTCATTTGCAATAGATAGGTATATGGTAGTTCATTATACTGTTCCCTTCCTTTTGTATATATTTGAAATTCTTTATAATAAAAATTTTTATAATAGCATCCAAAGGGAAACAATTTTAATTAATAACCTAATAGCCCTGGCTTCCCAAAATATGGCTTATAATACTAAATGGCAGTAAATCGAAATTGTGTATTTTTTTGAAAGCAATTAATTTTGAAAAAAAATACATTACAATTCCAGAAGCAAACACTCCCTCCTTCTGATATACCAAGGTGACTGGACTGATAAGATTTCTTCCGTCTGTCGGAAAAGAAAAACAAGGTAAAGCAGGTGAAGTAATTAAAATTATAATATAACAATGAATAATATAATAAAAGTTGCTTAGTAATGATTACTAGTAATGATTACTTAGTAATGTGTGATGTAAATAACACAAGTTGTAAGGTCTGTATCATCAGGTCTGTATAACTGGCATTATAGGATTATATAATAAATTTATTTTTTAGGAAACTTTTGTCAGAGGTTTTAAGAGGCCAGGGGAGAAAACAACAAACCAAAACTATATTATCATGGAACTGTATACTTAATATTTGTGCATTTTAAGGTATGTAAATTTATACCTCAATAAATAAATTACAGTGGACAAAAAGTGAAAAGAAAAAATTTTCTATAAGAACATTTGTTATTAATAAAATGCTACCTTTGGGGGAAAATACAAAAAAGACATATTACCATTTTATTTAGACAAATCATGAGAACCACAAAATCAAAGTCTCAGGTGGCATCCATCAAATTATTTGTTTGCCACACACTACGTGCCTGACATTTTGCTAGATGCTACAAAGCACACTTGTCGTTCCTTCAAAGACTGTTCACACCTCCCAGCAGTCCTTCTTCCAACTACCGCTGGAGTCCAGGTTGTTACAACTCCTGGCATGAGCACCCCAGGTACTTGCTGCTTACTGCCACCCACTTCTAGGATCTTCCTTCCTGAACTGTGGCTAAATTAATCTGCCCAAGGGCCATCCCAGTTGGGGTACATCCCCATTTAGGAGGTTTTGATGTTTGTCCACTGTCAGCTGAATCAAGTACAAACACCTTAGCTGCACATGAAAGGCTAGATACAGTACAAATGCCCTTCATCCTCCTCTACTTTTTTGTAGCACTTGAGGCTTCAGACAAACTGGACCACTTCTTATTTCTCAGCCTTCTCCATGTTTTGTCCATACAGATACCATTGCCAAAAATTCCACCTACCCACATCTCTGCCTATGCACCCATCCTTCAAGGGCCAATTCAAATGCAATCTTCAAAATGACTTAACTTGGACTCTTTCCCTCGTCTCACTCCCCATAGCACATTGTGAAGCTCTTTCGTCACGAAATCACCTTAACCTACCTGGGGTGTAATTATTTGATTACTTGTCTTATCCTCTTTAATAAAATCTAAGTTCCTTAAGGATGGAAATTATGAGACTATGTATTTGTCATCTATGTAACCTCTAAGGCACTCTGCTTAATGTCTTCCAGAGTGTAGAGGCTTGATAAATATGTATTTGAAACCATTTATAATATATCATGAAAATCATAAGAAATAGTATGTAGGAAGGAAATGGTGAACAATATAAGACTACATATAATTAAGTTCTAAATTGTATAAAATGTATTAGGTCTTATTTCCTGGGTTCAGGTGTCAGCTCCAAAGTTTATGTGAATTTGGGCATGTTTCTTAATATAGCTCATCTGTCTCATGGAGATAAAGGTGTGTGTCCTTATGATGTTGTTTTGAGGATTTCACGAAATATGCATGCAAAGTGGTAGCAGAATGCCAAGAGCATAGTGACATCAATAAATATCAGCAGCTGTCATGCTCATCCACAGGACTTGGTAACCAGCTAGCGGAGGAATCAAGGATGTCTCTAAGATAGGGAAAACCAGGGAAAACCAATAAAACCAACACCCACAGCTACACTTCTGGGAATACGAAGCAGAGTGGTTTCTCACCCAATGGTAATTCCTCCTCTATCTTATTAAGCACGGTTGCCTTCAAAGTATCTCCATGAATCATTAAAAGATGACCCTCTTCACAGCCAACATACAGATCACTTGTTGGAGTCCAGCAATGCATAGTTGGGTGAAGGAAAGGATACACGTCGTCTTTCGGCTTCAGAGAAAGAATAAAAACCTTGTGTTGAGACAACAATCACGGCTAAGAGCCAGAACAATTGCCAAAAAGAAACCAATGAATATGGGCCTATGCAAATTCACTGGTCTTGCTCCTTGCTGAGAGCTGAGTGAACTACTCCTTCTTCCCCATGATTCTCTCTCCACATTTTGATTCACTAAGAAAAAATAAGGTGTTCATGCCAACATATTCAGTCCTATTGCCGCAGATTCTCATGGAAGTTATGAGTAATAACTTCTAAGCTCTTTCTTTGTGGACTTTTTTGGTGTTTTGAATCTAAGAAGGTCGTTGTCTAGCTAAAATCACCCTTTTTGAAGGAGACTTTCATCAGCATTTCTGTCTCGTGGTTCTGCAGGGGGTGCAGATGTGACTTCGCATGAGCTGCTGTGGAGAGGCTGGCCCGGATCCTCCGCTTAGCAGCACTCATGGGAATGAGAAGACGGCCCTCTGCCTGGCTCTGGTGGCTTCTGTGATTGGTTCATGAAACATCCTACATGACTTTTCGAAGGAAAGAGAAATGCACAAAATGTACCTACAAGAAAAGTGAATGTATCTAGAAGAAAAGCTGACTTTGGGGCCTAAAAACAATATTGACCAAGGGTCTAAGGCAAATTTTTTCTGTAAAGGGCCAGGTATTGAATGTTGTAGGTTTTATGGACCACATAGGTCTGTGTCACATATCTTTTCTTTTTTCTTTACAACCCATAAAAAATGTAAAAACCATTCTTAAGCTTGGGCCATAAAAAGCAGGCCATAGCTTGTTGATCTCTGCCTTAGATGATACCTTCAGCGTTGTTCCCCTGCAACTGCGAACACTCAACACTCAAGTATCCAGCAGGGAGAGGCTGCTTTCCGTCAGCACGGGGCAGGCCTCCTTGGAAGCCGAGGACCACCTGCTCTCCCTCTTGGAGGTCAAGGTAGTTGCAAGAACTATTTCGGGCATGTGCTTCACACTGCACTGATTAAGATTCCAAATTCAGGATACCATAATATGGCGCTTCCTCGTTTTTATTTGACTAATCAAACATACTAGCTTACTTTTTATTTGTTTATTGAGAATGTAACGTTTAATGCTATCTGAGCATTTTGTTACGCTATACTATTATTTAGAATTGCACTTGTTACAACAGAATGTCTTTGTTTTCTTTAGGTATCCTTACACGTATAGACATAGAAGACATTTTTTAAGAAGCTATTAGCCAAATTAACAAAATTCTGAAATTCCTTAACAGATTGATGTTTATTTCATTCTTTCACACAGGTATTCATGCATCTAACAAACATTTGTTGGGCACTGCTATATTCCAGGCACTGTTCTGAGCACAGGGATGTAGCAGTGAACAAAACAGACCAAAAAAAAAATGTTCCTGCCCTCATGGAGTTTATATCTTGGCGGGGAGAAACAGAGAGTGAAAATAAGTTAAGAAGTAAAATATATGGAATGTGTATATTGTGTAATAATGTGTAGCGTAATATATTGTATGTATTGTGTTATATATTGTGTATGATGTGTATATACGTGTTGAAAAATGCTGTGAAGAAAAACAAAGCAGGGTAAGTTGGAATAGGTTTCATAGTTGGGGAAGATTGTGAGGCTTTATAAACAGCCATTTTTCTATTCAAAAATCCCTGATGTATGTCAGCCACCTTTCTAATAAATACTCACTTGCTCGAATAATATATCATACAGTAATTTTTTAATTTACACAAGATTTGTGGATTCAAGGTAGTGGCAAGTGTGGCATTGCCCAAGGAACTATTTCCACTAGATTCTCAACTGATACAAATTTGTGGCATGATTGATATTTCAATAAATACTTGTTGGGTGTTGCTTATATACCAGGCATTGTGCCAAGTCCAAAGGGATCCCTCTTCTCAACAGGTTAATCACTTCTTGAGGGAAAAAGAAGTATCAACAAATATCAGAATGAGAAAGCATAGTAGGTTATAATAGAGAGGTGTTTAAATATTACAGGGACATCAGTGAGAAAGCAATGGGCTCTTCCTGCTGGAGTGAGGGGATGGGGAGAGAGGAATTATCATTTGGGATGGACCTTGAAGGTGACTAAGGCAGCTATCACACATAGGAGCAGTCATCATCATGATTTTTTTAAAGGATGATTGACTTTAATTGTATGATTGGTCTATTTCATGCCCTCACAGCCTTGGATAATTAGAAAATAAATACTTGAGTAATGATCTGGTCACCCAGTGGACAACGAAAAAGGCAAAATCAACCAAGTAGATTAAACTGCTGCTGATTAATGACATTTCTGTAGTGTCTGAGATTTGACTCATAAAGAAAAGAGTTATTCACTGAATCATCATTATTTAAAAGCTTCTTGAATTGTCTTGATGACTTCTAACCTTAGACTATAAATCACAAAAATATAGACTCTTATTTGGTATAACAATAGGCTCAAAAGCTTAGAAACGAAACAAAAACAAAAACCACACCAGTATCTCATTCTCAGAACGCCACTGAATCTGTGTGTATGAAACAGAATGCAAGGATTAAAACTTGGGCTTTTTTGGCCTTGGTGTGTCAAACTAGAATTGTATGTGGCCTTTCTTTCTTTAAGATAAACCTGGGCTTGTCTTCCTATTATTTTCTTTCATCAATAAATATGTTTGGTGCCATTTAAAAATGAATGTGATATTATACAGATTATGCGAG